CAACAGTCAGCAAGAAAGATGTAAGGGGAGCGTGGTGGCCCGTCGTTGAAAGGAAGTGAACACCAAGATACCAAAAAACTATGAACAACAGTCAGCAAGAAAGATGTAAGGGGAGCGTGGTGGCCCGTCGTTAAAAGGAAGTGAACACCAAGATACAAAAAACTGTGAACAACAGTCAGCAAGAAAGATGTAAGGGGATCGTGGTGGCCCGTCGTTAAAAGGAAGTGAACACCAAGATACATGCATGATCGGTACGTACATCAAAATTAAATCAGTCTAAGAGCACCAAAGAAAGGCTTGTTAATTGTTAGTAGTATCTCGTCTCCATAAGGTACACCATTCAGGACTCTAATTGTGTACAGATTAGTCCGTTCATCAGGATAGATTTCTCCTCACATCATCAGAAAAAAAAACTCATACTCAATCAGTGTAGCATTCACTTGTTCCTATCTCGAGTTTCATAAAAGCCTCAGTGAAACAGTTTGTTGATGTCTCTAACTTATTTAGTCCAGAATATATATATATATAAATATAGATGTTATTGGACACTTTCAATTTTCGGCTCAATAAATAAGCCCAAGAAACTTTGGCATTATTCAGAACTAAGCATTCTTCTTTATGTTTCACTTTGTTATTTTACAATCTCTCTCAAAGCTTCGCAAAGGCTATCTGCGCATAGCCCTCTCTAATTTTGAGCTGATAGAATAGGAGAAAGACATTAAATCAACATCACTCAGTGGATATAGTTGGGCTACTTTTGTCTGTACAGATAGTGTGGGATCTAACTGTCACTTTGTAATACACCCACGCCTCCAAAGGTTGGAGCAAATTTTTGACGCAACTCGTCGCGAACAACGAATCCTCAGATTCGCACGCAAATACTAGGACACGTCCGGTCCTCCTATATTTCAGTCAAATATTAAGATATATCCTATAATATTGTGCTATTCTTCTATAAAGTTGCTATTCTATTATGTTTATGGGTACGATCTCTGTTTAATAAACAATGGTCTTGGAAACTTGTTGCTCTTCCTACCAAACTAAACGTAACTTGTATCCCTAATAGTATATAGATTACAAACCCTGTGATATAGTATAGAACTGAGAACCTTTGACGTTTAAAAACGTAACTTATATCCATAATAGCATATAGATTATAAACCCTGTGATATAGTATAGAACTGAGAACCTTTGACGTTTAAAAACGTAACTTATATCCATAATAGCATATAGATTACAAACCCTGTGACACAGCATAGAACTGAGAACCTTTGACG